CCCGGCCTGGAAGGATGCCAGGCGTCAAGCCCACTAAGCCAGACATTGTGCCCGGAATCCCCCCCCTAAACTCCCCAAACCCTGGCCCTTTAATCGTCATTATACCGGTTCGCAATTCACGTTCCCTCCCTGTTTAGTCAACGTCGACGCCAAGCTTCCGCAGGTCGACGACGGCCTCGTCAATTTCCGCCATCAGCTCCTTGTGGGCCTCGGGGACGTCGTTGAAGGTCATGACGTTGTATCCGAGACGGGCGAGGAGGTAGGATCCGAAAGAGATGAGAACCCAGAAGGGCAGCTGCAAAGGCACACAAGGGTCAGTAAAGGTGGCCGCAAGGGTTGGCGAAGCCTGTTGGAGGCAAGAGGAAGGACGTACGACGGGGACGATTTCGGTCTGGATTACGGCGGGAATAGGAATGAGCTGGAGATAAAGCGCGAGGTAGAGCTGTAGGCGCTGGTCAGCATAGATTCGTGGACCGGTGGGATCGGTAGGATGTCGCTGGCTAGAGAGGGAGGAGGGGCCGTACCGAGCTCACGAGGAGCGCGAGAGAGATGGTCTGCTGGGCGCGGGTCATGGTTGCTGTTGGTTGAGATTGCCGAGATTGTCTGGGAGATTATGGACGGGTTGGGTTGTTGTGTGGGAGCGATCGTGGCGGAAAAGGAGTGACTGAAAAAGCTGACGATGGTCGCGATGCTGCCCCCTTGGTTGGAGCCAGATAGATGCTGAAAAGGAGTCGCAGCTGTCCAGAAATTGAGATGGAGCTTGAATGACTAAGCCGTGCCCGGAACCCCTACGGCCCCACGTTTCCGCAGTTTATGCGTGGGACCCACCCGGAGCTTCTTACCGGACGCGCCCCGCGTTCCTGTTCATCCCAGGCTCCCACTCGGATCATGTCAAGCTTCCAGTCGTTCAGATATATCCATTCGTGATGACTCTCGTTGCAGTGAAGTAAGTAAGAGTTCTCCGTAGATCTTTGGTACGATTGATGTTCCACTTCCAGGTCGGCTTGGCTTTCCTCTCACTTTCTCTCGGTTCCGTGTACGGCCCCACGCCAGCCTGCTGTGTCCTTGTTGGCCCAGCTTCATGGCGGCCTTCGGTAAGCGTTCACGTAGGGCCCTGTTCACTGCATTTTTAAACCCTCATGTACACCCCGCACAACCCTTTTATTGTACATTTTCCCGGTCGACTTGATCAAAAATGCATGAATACGGTTTAGGAAATAAAGAGCTGCAATTGTGGTTGGCCCGGCCATCTACCCACCTCAGCTGGAAGATCCGTTTAATACCAAGAAACTAGTCAATCAACCAGACTTGAAACCATATCGTACAGCTCGCACAATGAGTCCGACCGGGATGAAATTTTGCAACGCTATCAATCATTTTCTCGAGGTTTCGATCTGCTATAGAGTCAGGTTGCTGCCAAGTGCGCTTTGCAACATAAAGAAGAGGCCGGTCTCAAAGACTGCCCAATTACGCGCTGCTCCTCGGGCTACCGGCTCCCGCTCGGCCCTGCAGCTCAACAGCGTCAATGATATAATTTGCGCTCAGGAAGTCCTGGTCGCCAGAACCGAAAACTCCTAGAGTGAGAGTGTTGGTGCCATTTCTCAACTCAGCTGCCGGTACGCCCCACTCGTACACTTCGCCGAATCCACGGTAGGCGCCTCGAGTTACACCGCGAGAGTCGATCAGAGTCTGCAGAAGCTGCTGAGTGATTGCCAACGGCCTTCAGATCGTTTACGCTTACCGGAGCACCGGGGTCAGGCGCCTGCCAGTTGTTGATTTGCGCCTTAGGACGTCCGCCTTTGAAGGACAGCGTGGTGCCCACGCGCAGAGTTACCCCCTCCAACTGGTTGGCCGCAAGATCAAAGGTGACGCTCGCGTTGCCTCCAATCTTGGAGAATAACGCCATCGGAAAGTCCTTCGCCTGTGACTTGCCCACCGCAAACGCGCCTCCCCAACTCGCCATACGAACATCCGACGGGTGCATCCGAGTAATCTTGTCACCATTTTTGAGTTCAAACGGCTGTCCATCAAACTCACCGATTTGCCAGAGAACTGGCGGGCTTGATTCTGCTGACTGGATGTCGTGAGTGACTTTGCCGCCTGCAGTAATGGTGACGGTGTCGTTGCCAACGGGAAATTCGGCTCGATACATCTTCATCGTGTATGTCCCTGGCTTCATGAGCGGAGATTCGAACTTCCCAGCAGACGCCTTGGTCCAGTACTGGGCATCTTTGTTGAACCAGTGGATAACGGTCTCGAAGTTGCTCGGAACGCCACTTGCAGCACCAGAAACACTCCCTCGTCCGTTGTTCGGTACATATCCCTCTATATCCAAAGAGTCGAAAAAGGTCGTGTCAAGGTCGCTTGACGGCTGTTGGCCGGTCCTTTGCTACCTATCAGCAAAATCTGTGAGATTTCCTTTGGGGTTCCTTACGTGAATCGCATAGCGTATGGGCCTAAGAGGCCGAACCTCCAAGGCTCCGTTCTGACATGCCCGCTGTTCATATACCAGTACAGTTCCTGTTCCACCGTGCTTTGAGAGTTAATATCCCTCATAAACGGACCTCCGGCGGAGTGTTCGTATGCGTTGCCAGGCATAATCATCCAGACGCCAACGCCCTATAGAGCCTGGTGTTAGTCAAACGTCAGCTCAAGGAACCATGATCACTACTCACGTTACCCGTCACGCCATGGACCTTATCCTCGATGAACCGATCAGACGTGTACATCTTGCACCTCGTCGTGCCATCCGGGCACTTGAACGTATCTTTACCCTCGAATGCCACGCAACCATCGAGGTCCGCAACATCTCCGTGCACTCCAGTCGGTACATGCGAGCGCTGAAGCCGTGCAAGCCATCGAAGCTCGCCCGGATCAATCTCGCCCGTGATGTGAGTCGCCATATAGACGGTCGGATCATCTGGTTTTGCCACGTAGTAATGCGTGAGAGGCTGTGATCCGGCCTTCACGGTGATTTTGACAATTCCGTTCAGGGTTTCGGCCGTGACAGTGGAAGTCCCTAAGCCGGAGTTGATCTGCGACATCTTTGTCGGTTCCTGGTACTGGACACCATTATAAAGAAGGCTGATGACGTCGCCATTCGATCTTCGTCCGTCATCAGCATTGCTGCCATTTGCATTGTGCACGCAGAGTGTAATGGCCTTCCAGTGGAGGAAATCACTTACCGATCCACTTCAAAGACGAGACCACCATCAGTATCGACTCTGTACGACGAGTTCGTCTCGACGATCCCAAAAGCAGCATACGCTGTTTTCCACAGAAGGCTTAGGCCGACTGCGAGACCACAGCGATGCATTTCGTTGATGGCCGTAGGTAGGTTTCAGACGACATAGATGAGCAAAACGTCTTGCATCTGATGAACTCTGCCGACAGATATAACCTTTAACCCATTGGATGATAAAATAGTTTCTAGGAGTGACTGCCCCGGGGTGTTAGTCATCCTCCCATCTTCCTTCCACCATCCATATCTTGGAGAGGGGTCAGTGCAGCAGCTAGCTGCTCGTGTTGGATCAGCCTAAAAGCTTGTTTGGACTGAGTGCCGAAGCCCCCCTGATTAACCTGCCTCTTCTGGTAGAATCTAGACAGTCGGTTTGTGATGCGATTGGTGGAAGCTTTCAACCCATGATTTTGCTATTAATCCGCGACGACATTAGGTAGCGAACATTCGGTAGACTTGACGAAGCCGGCCGGATTGTACCAAGTCATTTCCTGATGAGCACAAAAGATGGAGTGATTTCCCATATGTCATTTCTGGCTGGCAAGCAAATTTGACGAGATATAGGACATTAGTGTAACATTGTGCAGTAAGTCATGAGTTGTTTTAATTTCTGTGAAGCATCTCTGCTGGCTCATCTGGGGGAACAGAAAATAGGAAACATCTTTGTGGTGAGAGTAGCAAGTTTATCATCTAGCCCGTGAATCGGATAAGACGGCAATTTAATGCCATATATATATATATGAAAAATGACCAGCCTAAACCTATCTATCATCACATCTCACCCACGGCCATGATGCAAATACAGGCCAGCCATATAACCCAGCAAAATGAGGGTTACAGACCACGATCATGCAAAAAGCAATTGGACACTGGGGGATTTGAACCCCCGGCCTTTCACAGTCGCGATTCATCAATTCCGAAGTTCTCCAGAAAGAGATGAGTGGAAAATGCGAAGCGAAAATCATACCCCTAGACCAAGCGCCCTATGATTGGATATTGACCTTGCCCACATTACACAATAGGAAAGCTCCTCAGCGTGTGCGCTCTATCTTCGTGTTCGACCCACCTTTGACCAAATCTTAGTCGGCAGTCAGAACCGAACGCAGCTGAATAATACGCTGGAGCTGGAGTACTCAACTTGTCCCCTAACAAGCCTAGGCTATGGAAATCTTGAGACCAATCCTAATCTTTCAAGCACTTTGTTTTCAGAGACCACAGGCAGAAGTCCGGAATTGGGAGCTCTGGGGCGCGGTGGGCCGGCTGACGAGTCAAGTAGGCAGGGACCCCGATAAGTCTCTTACCAACCTAGGCTCCAGGTTTAACACATCATCACTTGCCGGATATTTGATATCGGTGCAATAAGAGGGTCATTAGCTAATTAGATCGAGAAAGTGCCGTCTTCAAATTGCGCTAGGGGGGGTCCACATGCCAAATCACGCAAACTGAGACGTGCTCATTTTGTTCCCGAAGACCCTTGGAGGTGTCCTTCTTCTATACCTTGTCAGAGCCTCAAAGCCTGTATTGTTTCGAAGAACTTTAATAGTGTCTTAGTCAGTAATACCTTTGCAGGGTAAGTGCACTAATCCAGAAGGCCCTTTCACAATCTGTTGACTCCATTTTAAGCAATATATTAGTTAGCCGTCTTGACGTCCAGGACATCAAGGACGAATGCGTAGACGCATATGAACAACTCGAGAGAAAGAAATATGAATGTTTGGGACGTCCAAATGTGCTTACACTAAGTACTCGATCGGTAGCCGGAATGATAAACAACTGCGGTATCGTCAAACCGGTATACCAGTCGAACGGTAACGTTGACGAGAAATGAACCCCCCCCACACCAGCTCTGTCAAGACATCTACCGCATCTATCCATGTCCTTCCGAGCCCAACGCGCTGAAAAGAGAAAACCCCAGGGACTTCAGGAGAATTCATACCTGGGCACTCATTGCCGATGGCGATGTCACTGATCCGCCCGTCCGCTTCATGGGAATCTTCGACACAGTGGGCAAGGGCGGAATTCCAGAGTTTGCCGGTTCGCTCAGCGTCGATTGGCTCAAGCCCCATTACCAGCACGTCTCGAGCGTCGTCTCCGAGGCTTACCATGCCTTATTGCTACATGAGCGCTTATATGCACTTCAGCCATGCTTCGTCTCCCGCAACACGAGTATGGGCCGTCCTACGTCATCACGAAACGCTGGTTTTCCGGTACGCATTACGACATTGGCAGGTATTAGCACTTCAACATTTTAAGGGGTATCCTCTCATAAACTCTCGAGAACATACTTCCTCCGACTTGGGCCTGGACGAGCAAAGCAATCAAGTCAAACGAGGTTCTGGTTCATCTGGTCTTCAAGTGGATGTTGGTGTGCGTTGATGCACACGACCCTTCTGGCTTTATCATCCCAAAGGGAAACATCAACCGTGAGCTAGACAGACTAAATAGCAGCATCCTAAGAGACCAGAATACCGGCGATGGCGATATTTAAAACCACATACTGCACTTTGTGCCCCTGAGGGGGTACCTTGGCATCACGCTACCGACAGTCTTCAGAAAGTGGCCGAACACTCGGCTATATCGGTTGTTCTTTGTCTGTATACCAAGGTATGTTCCCAAGTTCAACGAATAACTACACAGGACCTGATCCCGATATAGACGAGGATATCATCCAGAAGCTAGCCAACTTATCAAGCTCGACGCCCGTCGAGAGGCTGGCTGACACACGATACCCTTCAGTATCATAAGGTAGATGATTGCTTAGACGTTAGTGCGCGCATTAATTTTGGTCATTACTGGTGTGTACAGGATCAAGGGCTGAGAGGCTCTCTTGTATGATGTGCGGTTCACCATACTGAGTGACATTGGTGTGACAGTAGCTTATCTTGAAGAAATGAAGGGTAGTTTGCCTTTTCCATAACCGTCCAAACGCCTCTAGAATGCTATGAATATGAAAAGGTTATCGCAAATGAAGTAAAAGTTAAAAGGAAACGATTATCAGGACCGCCACGCGCTCTCCATTGTAAAGTATCGCTTTAGGAAATGGTCGCCAAAGTGGCAACCATTACTCGGAAAGGCGGATGCGGTCGTTTGTACGTCGCCAACAAAATATGCTCTTGACCCATTCCCACGTGTGAATGGCCATGCTCATCGTCCCGAATATAAAAAAGGGTATCACGCTGTTCGAAAACAAGTACATCAGACCACCAGACTGCTTGACAACATCAAACAGTTCGCCTCGCATAATACGCAGCGATTCTTCCTCATTTTTCCATGGACCCACCAAGCGGAATTTCGTGTTGAAGTTGCTACCCATGGCCCATGTGTATACGGCCTTGAAGCCCTTGGAAAGGACGTAAGTGAAGCGGGGGGCAGAGCCGATGTCGAGAGCCAGCTGGTATACGTAACTCTCATGATCAACGCCGCGCTTCTCGGCCCAGGGATCACGGCCGCAGCGAGGATGTAACTTCCAGTCCATGTCGTATCCAGGCAGGGCATTCGGGTCGAGAGGATCGGAGTTTGGCGAATATGTGAGGCCAGGGACGTTGGGATATTGGGACTGGAGGAGGCGGAGGACCCAGAATTGGGTTTGCATCTCAGCCAATGTTGGGATGGCCCCTTCATATGATGTTAGTAATCGGTAAAGTAAGAATTTGATGGAGGGACGTTACCCAAATTCGGCCTCACAAAGCCGATGAAGCCCACAGAAACGTCATTAGAGTGGTATATGGCCCGGACATCCGCCGTATCTGGTGTGCCATAACTCTCGTCCAGAAAAGGGAAGCGGCGGGTGTATCCTGTCGCAAACAGAACCACGTCCGGTTTCACAACCATCTGCTTCATCTTCTCGGATTCCGGCCTTCCAGTGTCACGGAAGTGCATGACCCCGTCGTCGTCGACATACTCGGGCCAGGGCGCGACATCAATGTACCGTCCCTTGGTGTCGATGTCGTACTCCTTGATGTAGAAGAAGAATCGACGAATTCGCTCCATGATGGAAAGCGGACGGCGCCAAGGTGCGGATATGTAAGGGACTGCTCGGCTAGATTTCGCAGGGAAGACTATGGTCATTGGTCAGTTGGTTTCTGCATGTATTGATCCAGGGATGCATACAGTGGTCGATGTGCATCCTCTCCCGAGGCATCCATCCAATAAGTTGGTCCCAACCACCAGCCGCCCCGCCCATCAGCGAAAAAGTAACGTCGATCTGTTGGTTGTAGAAATCCCAAAGCAATTGACTAGTCTGCAGCTTCGGAGGCACATATGCTGTGTCGAACAAACTTGCAATTGAACAGTCAACAGGTTTCTCCTTGAAGTTGAATCCCTTTCCCCAGAACCCGAACATGGCAGGAGCCGGCGCAGTCTGCGTCAATTAGTGCTTGAGTGGTGATATCTGGTAGGAAGCAAACGTACCTTTGGTGCCACCACAAAGCCGTCCCTGTGACACATGACAACGTGCTTCACGCTCTCGGTTGTGGCAGCGAGCTGGCCGAGGTCTTGTGCGGTTTCTCCGGTGCCGACAATCACGACCGTCGGGTTTGCACTCTTGATATCCCGCAGCTGGTCGCGGGACTTGAATTCCGATGAATGGAGCACCTTGGGAATCTTCTCGAGGCCCTTGAAAGGTGGAATCCTTGGTTCGACGTTCAGCCCGGAGCAAACGGCGACGGCATCGCATGCGTAGTCCAAGGTAGTGCCATTGGAACGAGTAACGGTGACGATATGGCCTCTATCTTCACCCCGACGAACGCGAGTGACTTTGGATGAACATTCGATGTGAGGCCGCAGCTCGAAGCGGTCACAGTACTCGTTGAGGTACTGGACATAAATCTCAGGGGTGACGTAATCAGGGGCGTCCCGGGGCAGACGGTGATCGGAGAAGGCAGTGAGATATTTTGACGATACAAGCTATGGCCGTATGGTAAGCTTCACCCATCCAACAAGGGGAGCGATCCGTTCGAATGATGCTACGTTGCCTGACTGCAAAAACTTACCTCCGCATCTTCGTAGACGCGATATTTGAATGTCCCTCCAATATCTTCTTCGGCCTCAAAGACACGAATCTCGATGGGCTCAATTGCAAAGTACAGGTGCGCCCACTTGAGATACCTCGCCGTCGACAGACCGGCCGGTCCGGCACCGACCACGGCGACCTTAAGCGGCATGGTAGTTAGCCAGCGCGCGGCGCCCGTAACTTTTTAAGTTGCTTTCTTTCCAAGGTCCTCCGATGTTGCAGTGCACAGAAAAGAGAGAGAGAAACAGCCCGGGGAGACTGGGAGCACACACCCTCGGGCGCCACGAGGAGCTTGAAAATAAGTGTCAAAATGCTGGCGCAGGGAATAGTGGCGGAGGGATGGATGAGACGACGGGGAAAACGTTTCGGTCTTATGGCTTACCTCCCACTTTCACTAGCATCTGCACAGACAAACTCAATCACACACCTACGCTAGGGACAACGGCAATACTCGGTGGGCGAAGGGGGCTTCTCGTGGTTTCTCGTTTCCATCCAAGAATATGCCTGCTGAACCCTACTCCCAAACAGGCATCAACGAGGAAACATCCGGAGATAGCCTTGAGTTGGTGGTACGATTCTAGCGTACCTACCTACGTGCGTAGGACTGGTCTTTTAGGGGGTCCCGACGGAGAGGTTCGGTAACTGTGGATAGACCTTGCCAAATGTGCAGTAGTGCGACTTGTTGTTCTGCTAGTTCCGTCTAATAACAAGGGCTGTCCTTGTTCCTGTCATGACACTCCAAGACCTAAGCGGGGCCAGTAATATCTCCAGCGGGGCAGTCGTGTCGTGCGGGGATATCGATTCTTGACTATTAATTGCCTCGGATTGGATCGGGATGTCCTCGTCTTCCGTCCCGTAAGATGATCTGGGAACTCGTCGACCGCTGGACCCTATAACCGGTACTTGAATAGGCTGTGGAGTCGCGTGTTTATGGTGCCGGTCTCAGATATGGAGCAGGGTATGAATAACTGCACCATCACAATGAGCCGTCTGCCTCATTTGCAATTCGGGCTTGGTGGCATTCGGTCTGGGTCCGTGTGGACGCCGGACCAGGTCAAGCACGAAGGAAATCACCAAGCGGCGTCGCGCCGTAGTGTTCGAGAGCCAAGACTAAGAACAACGGCGCCCCTGCCTAGTGCTTTCGTCCGTCCAGTCAAGCCAGGAAGCAATTGGTCGAAATAGGTTGGGAGCGGTTAACAGGCAGACACATTGTGGGGCAGCACTTGAGTCATCAAAGTACTTCTTGAAGTCTCTCGCTTAATCCTGCACAGACCTACGCACAGACCAGCTCACCCTTTTCCTAGAGAAAAAAGAAGAAAACAGAGATATCTCTATTAGCTTAAGGTGCATCTAGAATATAGTAGCATAAATCAACTTTTTAGAGGAATTTACTCTTAGAGACTCCCCTTTAAGTTTGAGATAATTAGGCTATAGTATATACTATTATAGAAGCTCTATTTTTCTCTTTTTGTTAACTTAGAAGTTAAGGATTTGAAGTTGGTGGTGTGGGGACAGAGAAGTTGGTGGTGTAGGGACATAAGTGACTTAAGAGGAGGTGGGTTAGTACTTTGAGATAGTCTGAGATGCTAAGGTTTGACCCGCAATCTGTCTGCCTGTTAACTGCTACCAATAGGTTGCCACCCTCACCGGCCCAGAAGCTCATTAGCTGACTGATGGCTGTCAACTCGAGTGTGGGATGGCGTTGCGGACGTACACACCAATACAGAATAACCAATCCGTCTGTCACATTTTAGTGTCATGTCAGCTTGATGTTAGAGCAAGCTTACTCCGGATTTATAATCAGCACCTGACAGCCACTTCAGCTCTGTGAAACCTGCACTATTAATAGGTCCTTTTTGTTTTTTTGTTTTGTTTTGCAATTGCCGCTACGGTGGAGAATGGGTCTAATTGTTTCCAAGCATGGGAGGTCTCGGTGTCGAAGCATGAGTCGCTTTCGCCTATGTAGTTACGCTAGCTACGTCACAGCCACTCCCGATTTCGCTTGCTGCATTCGTCTGTTTATTCGATGCCACAAAAAGGTTAATTGTTATTGAACCAACGATGAAGTTTCTCACGATTTCATCAACTTCTTACCGAAACTTTCGTTTCTATCGGTTATTTCCCGTCTTGTGCACCCATATTCGTGGATGATGGCGAAATCCAGCGAATTGCGTGCTTGCAGACATTTCCTTTCCAGTCAGCCCATATTGAATAGTGACGTGGCTAAATTCTATGGGTTACTCTGCTCAAGAGCTAAAAAGACTCAGTTCTCACATACTGCAATTGCACGCCATGGCCTTGGCTTGTAAACCCATGCTTTTGGCCCGGGAGCAAGACCAAACATCTCACCAAACGTATTACGGATCTTAATGGCTGCAATACAAGTTGCCATTGTGGATTTTCCGGGGAATTAAAGTATTGTAGCAGTGGCAAGAGCCAATACAAGCGCGACACATTACCAAAAGAGGGGATTCCTGCACGTGGGTGTCAAGGAGGGCGGACGGACGGGCGGGCGGGTGTGTTCTCGGTCAAAGATCCAACAAAGCCCACTGTCACCTCGATACCATAGTCAGCCCCTATAGCAACGGCGGATTCTACCAATGTCAAGCAATGGGACTGGGCTGTTGCGGCCTTAACATTAGCCTGAATGATCTAGGATGGGTAAAGACTGAGCTGAGTTTCGGTCAACCACCATGGGCCTTGTCTTTGCATTGTTGGGTCCGTACCGCTCTTGTATAATCGTATCATGGCTGAATAATATGGCTATCTATTTGTCGTGATATAAGCCGTAATTGCGCAGTGGCAATTACGGATCCGCTTTTGTCATCACACTATTTTTATGTTGAATTTTCAAGCGTCGTAGCCAACGCAAATCCAGCTTGACGCATCATTCAAATCTCCCTTGCCGTCCCATGATGCATGGCCTGGGTACTTGCAGATCGGACGCTGCCTCAAGATGCCATGGCTAACAGTATCGTTGGCGTACTTTGTTGCCACGAGCTCGTTGATCTCTTTCCCCCCTTCTACCCAAGAAACCAGCGCAAGCAGAGCATCATGCTGTGGGTCATCGAGACCAGGCACGGGAAACACGTGCTGCCCATTTGCCTCCAACTTGGACGAGTGCTCGCTGGCTCCAAAATACCACGGGGCGTCGTACACGCTCCCCGAGCAATGCTGCATGCCCGGCACAAAGAAAAGACGATAAAATTCGTCCAGATTAATGCCTTGTTCTGCCATCGCCATCCACGTCTCGTCGTAGAGGACACGGCTGACGTCCGTGGGGATAAGACCATCAGCATACCCGTGGTATTGGACCAGCTTACCGCCTCGTCCATGGAAGGCTGATAGGTTGAAGTTGTTCGCGTTGACATTCCCGGGATTGCGCTTTGCCGCCTCGACAAAGGTGGAGTAATTGAAATCGACTTTCCAGTTCCAGTCCAGATCGTCGAACAAATAGTTCTTTGCGTAGTCTGTGCCATACAAACTCGGCTCATTGTTGGAACCGAACGAAGACGGCATCTGCACCTCGGATCCAAGGCCGAAGTTGGGGTAAATGTATGTCAGACTATTGACATTTGCATCCAGCTGGATCAGGGGCAGATACAACTGTTTCAGCGTCGACACTTGCGGCGCTGTGAGACATGCCGACCGATTGACTGGGCTGGACGTGCAGAGAAGCTTCTCCGGTCGAAAGTTGCAATGCTTAGGATCCATAATGACACCGTCGTTAACGCCATCGGAACTGTCGCACTGCCGCAAGACCTCCTGACCAATCACTTCGAACATGCCATTGGGGAGGTACCCGGGCCCGTCCACCGGAAGGTTGATGGCGCCGACTTTGAGCTGCCACAACTGCTGGCTCGTAGACATCCACGCTGGAGCACCAGCAAGAATACCGTCAAAGTCCTCCGGATGATCCTGCGCTGATTTGACACCTTGACGCCCTCCTGTCGAGCAGCCAGAATAGTAGGACTTTTTTGCCGCGTTTCCGTAGTACCCCGCCACAATTGACTTGGCCAGAATAGTCGAGCCGTGGAGACTGCGGCCAGCCCAGTCAGCTTTTGTTTCTGGATTATTAAGCGCCCAGCTCATGTCCTGAGATGTTGAGTTGTGGCCAGTCGATGTCGAGATGGTTGCAAAGCCGTACTTGGCGCCTGTGCCCATTGCGTACCAGTTGATGCCCCCCGAGAAGCCACCGTTGCCAACAGCAAGAAAGCGCTTGTTCCACTCATCTGGAAGGAATATGCCAAACGTGTACGATGAGGTTGACGAAGATGTGATGTTGATAGTGGCTGCACAGAGCGAGGGCAGATGAGTTGCGTTCTGGGGATATGCTACATTTCCTGCCTCGCCGAAACTGCCATTGCTGCTGATTGAATAAGCCATCAAGACCTCTGCCTTATCATCTTCCGCAAGGAGACTATTGATACCCTCGACTGAGCAGCGAGTAGAAAGTCCATGAGAGAGGCCCTGCACAGCATGGATTGCCACCCAGAGCACAAGGCCGAGGAGGCTTGGCGCAAACGGCATGTTGTCCGACAGAAACGTTAATAGACTTAGGTTGATTTGGTGTTGCCTCTACGGCGCATTGCAGCCCTTCCTCCACCTTGTTCTTAAATTGAGAAGGTTGTGACTCTCTCCGAGTGCCACTCTAGCGTCAACCAGGATCACCCAATCGTGCCTTCGCTTGATTCCTTAAGCTCCATCTAGATTCTGCTCGAGACCCACAGGGAATGCTGCCAACCCCGCATTCTCGGTGTTCTAACCTACCGCGGATGAACATAGCCGTATTAGTTGACTTGAATGCGAGGCAAAGCTTGATTTAGAGGTGGCCTGAGTGAAACTCAGGAAAAACATAACTCCATGCTGACCGACATCGGGCTCCTGTGCAGCGCATGATGTCATTGCCTTTAATTCCAATCTCGACGCTTCTGTTGCAGATGCCAAAAACACGACGGCAGAGGATGCCACTAATGAGAAGAAGTCCTCTGTAATCGAGTAGCCGGAGCCTGCAACTGTGGACGCGCCTGCTACTGAGGAGCCCGCGGCTGAGGGGAACACTACCCTTCCGGTAAGACTGCTCAGCACTGAAGCCAATGCGGAGGCAGCAACTGGGGTCGGTACCTCTTGTGTAAGCTCTGCACTGATGACGCTGGGCAAAGCATAAACAAATCCGATCGGGCAATTGGTTGTTCCCTGGTTCGTTTGCAGGCTTTCAGAAGCGTTGTTTTGTGCAGCAGAACAGCTGGGCTAGTCCTATGTCACTTTGAGCCTCCAGCCCAATATACATGGTTCCTCAGATATACTCGCAGACATGCTCGTATGCCTGCAGCCTGCAGCTATGACGGCAGGTGACATGGGGGGAGACAATACGAGGAGGATTCGGTCGAGCCCCACAAAGCGTCAATGATTGTGATTCCTTGCAGCACTCGTTTAGAAGGGTGGTAAGTCGATTTCCTGTCTAGCATCTCACACTAGCAGCAATAGTCGAATACAGAACTAAGATACTTCCAAAGGTTTTTGAAGTATAATAGCAGCTGCTTGGCAGAACAGAAACAAGTTCTGATGTATGCTGTGTTGAAGGCTAGGTCAGTTATGGACTTCGTAGAGCTAGGAACGTAGTTCTTAGCGCTAGGTGTTTGATCAAATTACCTGATGCCTGGACAAAGACGTGAGGTGCAAATTCGTGTCGAAGTACATAAATACATTGTTGCCCTATGTACTTCTATTAGCTCCTATAAACCCTGGCACTTTGACAAGTCAGCGCGCCAACACAGGGCGATTTGATGGCAGCTGAGCGGCTATCCCTGTTTCTGTAGGCTACGCAACAAATCGGAGGTGGGTGATTGGATGGCCTGAAATTCCCTAAGACCTCTCAAGTCTTAGATATTATTAGACGTTCTCGTATACGAGAAGCATGTTGTCATGGAAGACACCATGCTGACATCTCTCGACGCGCGGCAGGTTCTAGTACGTGTAATACGGGCAAGCGGCATAAGGGTCAGATTTGGACGCAAAAAAACATGCAATAATCATGCGCCTGAAGAGCTGCAGCGGTATCGATCGGCGTCCTGTACCCTGCATAGGATCGCTCTAGGAGGTAGCCCATTACAAGGACAAAAAAGCAATTATCTGCAAGTCGGAGTATTTAGGAACTGGATGGACTCGTATCATTCACATTTCGGCCAGGCGCCGCTAACCTCCACTATCAACATTTTGTCGAGCCTCTAGAGCCGTCCTTAAAGTCTATTTTCACGCCGAAATGCATTTCTCTAGTCTTCTCGCCACCGCCTTCGTGGCCACTGCCTCGGCCAAGACTACGGCCTACCCACCGATCAATCTGGGTCGGTTCTATTATCCCCACGGAAATCAATTCGTTGCGTGGTCACCATTCACTCCTACGACCACACAAGAAGTCGCCGAGGTGTGCGATGCCCGCGGTGCGATAAGAGGAACAGCGACTTGGACCGCCGTCAGAGTCTGGAACACCTACGTCTTCGATCCCATCTGCCGCAACCCCTTCAACATCACCGACGATGTTACCAACACCACTTACTACAACTTAGAGCTTGCATGTGTGGATGACGACATCCCTATCACGGCAGAGCCCGAGGTGACCGCCGTCGTGGACAGGAACACCAACAAGACCATCGAAACTTGCATCCCGGTCCCGACAGACAACGGGCTTGGCGGCGGAGTGAGCTGCAGCAACCCAACTAATGGAGGTGTCGCGTTTCAATTTGCCTGCACTCCTCCTCGTGCCTGAAAGATCTGTGGCGACAGAGATATGGGCGAAGCAACTCTTGCTAGACACTCGTTGGACCATTTTATGTCAACTCAAGGACGTGGAATCTGGCTTGACACACTTTTAATAGAATCGCATTTCATAGCATGCATATGAGAACGACATAAAGATGCACCCGAACCCAACCTGTCGCTGTTGAAAAGTTTCTAGGTACTCACGGCGCACTTTGTTTTGCCGGTGAGCTGAAAGTCGACAGTCCACGACCAGCATTGTATCGGCAAGCTATTGCGAAGCACATGATATGTCAGTCACTGTGCCTATTTAACGGCTTCGTCTTTTGCGACATAAGGCTTCTTGTAACTCAGAAGAGCTGAAAAAAGAGCCTTGTACCAGATGGATCTTTGTGTTTACCTTTTTCTCACTGCATGGTAATTTTGCTAGTGCTGCTTACCAATAATCAACTCGCGGAGCTCCCCAGCCAAATAACTAAACCCATATTTCAGTCAATGACATCACAAGCTGAACGAATTGGGATGCTGGCGAGTTCCAGCTTGGGATTAGCGCCGGCCTCTCCACGCTCCGTCTCCTGAGTCGTGATCGTGAGTGAAGGGCCCCTAGTCCCGTTTGGGATACATTCTGCGCCAGTTGAGAAATAAAGCGATGTACCCACCGTTCAGACTGGTATGAACTGCGAGGCGCAACCGATCATTGCAGCTCAGATGCGATCTCAGTAGGAGAGTATGATGCACTTATCTGAGTACGGTCAAGGATTGTATTTTCAAATGAAGCTGCTCAGGCGCGCGACGGGACTATTTAACGTGCCTATATCCCCGTTACATGGTGATGATAGCTATATTCCCAACGACATACTCTCAGATGTGGGGCATCACTGTTCCTTATATCATTCCAACTTGACTTGAAAGGTTTCGCCTGGTCTCTCTCGATCCTATCGGACTATCAAAAACAATGCCTGAAAACCAAGCTGCCTGGCTCACCGGCAAGAAGGTCAAGCCTCTGGAGGTTCGATCCGCAGCTTACACGCCGCCTGGTGAGAATGAGATCGTCATCCACAACCGAGCCGTGGCCGTCAACCCCGTCGACTGGATCAAACAGGACATTGGCGACTTCATGTACGAATGGGTCAAGTACCCGATGATCCTAGGCAACGATGTTGCAGGTGACGTGGTCGAAGTTGGCTCCGGCATCAGTGCAGCCCGATTCAAGGTCGGAGACCGCGTCCTTGGGCACGCAGTCGGCCTCGACAAGCGAAGCAACAGGACTTCGGAAGCTGCTTTCCAACACTACGTCGTCCTGAGGGCTAATCTCACTTCAACGATCCCCGACTTCATCAGCTTCGAGCAGGCCTGTGTGGTGCCCCTCGGTGCATCGACTGCCGCTTCTGGCCTCTTCGACAAAGACTTTCTCAACTTGCAGCTACCGAGGCTCGACGCAAAGCCAAAAGGCGAGACGCTCTTGGTCTGGGGTGGATCGACAAGCGTGGGCTGCAATGCGATCCAGCTCGCTGTTGGTGCAGGGTACGAAGTCATTGCAACGGCGTCGCCCAAGAACTTCGGATACCTCAAGACCCTCGGCGCAAAAGAGGTATTCGATTACCGCAGCGCCACCGTCGTCCAAGATATCATCGCGGCATTCCGGGGACGAATCTCCGCCGGCGCCATCGCCATCGGGGCCAACTCCCTCGTTCCCTGTGTCGACATCATCGCGGCATCAAAGGGACGGAAGTTTGTTGCACAGGCTAGCGCTGCCGGGACCGGGAAACCGCCTACCAGCACGACTGCGCTGGTGTCCATGCTGTGGGCGCTGGCTTCTGAAAGTGTTACAGTCTCTGTCAAGGGCAAGCTTTCTGGGGTTCGAAGCAAGTTTATCTGGGGAAGCGACGTGATGGCGACCGAGGTTGGCGCGGCCATTTATCAAGACTACTTACCTGACGCCATGGCTCAGGGCAAGTTCACTCCGGCACCAAAGGCGGAGGTCGTTGGAAATGGCCTCGGATCAATCCAAGAGGCGTTTGGAATAAGTTACAAGGGGGTGTCTGCGAAAAAAGTGGTTGTTTCTCTCTGAATACCCACAGCCAATTTCGGTTTTCTGTCTGTGCTGCATTGTTCATGTTCTTATCCGGTTGGTGACCCATCGTACCAAGCAAATGTTTTTAGTTTAGAGGCTGTTTCGGTCATTGCTCAGTGAAACAGTGGGATCTCTGAATGTTTTGTCCATTGATAGATCTACTGCTGAAGCCTGTGTTTCTGCAGTTTCTGATTCGGTTGAAATCTAATTCTTTGTAACTCCCATCGACAGCCCCTACCGTTACTTTGATCCCTGGCGCCGAGCAAAGCCTAGCCAAGATCCGCCCAATAGGAAGAAGAAGAATACGTACCAAGCTTTTCTTAGCGATCAGATGCCAATACCTACTGGTAGGTTCGTCGCATTTACCCCAACGGGAGCTTCGCTCGACACTGATCATCTGCCGGCGTACCTAGTTTACCAACTACCGTAGTACCTGCACCCCGAGGCCGGCCCGAGCGCGGGGTAATCTTCCATGTATGGTGTACCTATGCTTATGCACGTGGAACTGGTTGGGTTCCAGGATTGAGTCGCAGCGTTCACGCGGCCCCCTTCGGTGTGTCAGACCTTGACTGGGCGACGGCGTTGTACTCCCATGGGTCGTCGCACGCGTGGCAAGTAAATGCTTGCAACCTGATGAGCAGTTCTTGAAGGACGGATCCGCCAATCTCTTGCATGGTTAAAGAATGAATGTACCACGGCGCCCACAGCCAAACCCCCTAATGCCTATCCTGCTGCTAGCAACAGGGGAGATGCACCTAATGAACAGATACCCTGACTGGCGGTCGCCAGATGTGGGTTTGACATTGGAATTCCACTCATGCAGCTCATGCAGCTCGTGTTCCCCTGAACCGGACGTCGCTAGACGTGGGTAATTAGTACCTTGGGAAGCCACTTGCACGGCTTGTGTTCACCCGGGCACTGTGGTTTGATTGGGCCGCATCGGGCTGTGTCGAGAATAACGACACTCGGCACTGGCTTCCGTTCCAATCTTCGGTTCCCGTGACCTGGACATGTCTGGTCACGTCGGCGTGAGGTTCCTCTCAAATGGCACCCTGGCATTAATAGTTCGGTCAGGCTTGCAGTGCCAACCTGGAAGGTGACAGTGGAAATACACCATGTCCATCCTGATTGGAGGGAATATCTGACGGTTCAGTCTCCATCGCATACCACTGCTCTTTGATCCGTGTCTCGGACTTGTCATCTTAATTGGGAGTTCGGATGATATTACGGACACAAACGAGGCCTCGGACGCCCGACAGTTTAAAAGCTCACGATGTGCCGGTACTCCTTTTCTATCGAGCGGTTTAGAATGCCGCTCACAGGCGTTCTCATATCTCCTTTGCTGCCGTAGCCCCTATTGCAAGCGATTGGACATGACAATGTCTTCACGATCCAGCTTTGAACGCGCCTGCGTACTCGCCCTGGGCCTTGCTGCTACAAGGTCCCTTGTCGCTGCCGGGCCCTGCGACATCTACGCCTCTGGTGGCACGCCGTGCATCGCCGCACATAGCACCACCCGCGCTCTGTACAGCGCCTACAGCGGCTCTCTTTACCAGGTCAAGCGCGGCTCCGATGGTGCTACGACTAACATCGCGCCGCTGTCCGCCGGCGGTGTCGCAAATGCTGCCGCCCAAGACACCTTCTGTGCGAAGACGACCTGTCTCATCAGTGTCATCTACGACCAGTCCGGCCGCGGCAATCACCTCACCCAGGCACCGGGCGGCGCTTTTACCGGCCCGGATGTCAACGGCAACGACAACCTCGCCAGCGCGATCGGCGCACCCGTCACGCTGAACGGCCAGAAGGCGTACGGCGTCTTCATCTCGCCCGGCACAGGCTACCGGAACAACGCCGCCCAGGGCACAGCTAGAGGCAACGAGCCGGAGGGCATGTACGCCGTCCTCGACGGCACCCACTACAATGGCGGTTGCTGCTTCGACTATGGCAACGCCGAGACCAGTAGCACCGACACGGGCAACGGCCACATGGAGGCCATCTACTTTGGTGACAGCACGGGTTGGGGCACCGGCGCCGGCAGCGGCCCTTGGATCATGGCTGATCTCGAGAACGGCCTGTTCTCCGGAGTCAGCCCCGCCAACAACCCTGGCGACCCGTCCATCACAGACCGCTTCGTCACGGCAGTCGTCAAGGGAGGTCCGAATCAGTGGGCGATCCGCGGTGCCAATGCCGCGTCCGGGGCGTTGACGACGTTCTATAACGGTGTGCGCCCGAACAAGTCTGGGTACAATCCGATGAGCTTGGAGGGAGCCATCATTCTTGGCATCGGCGGTGACAACAGCATCAGCGCCCAAGGCACCTTTTATGAGGGCGTCATGACCACTGGCTTTCCATCCGACGCCACCGAGAACGCGGTGCAGGCCAACATTGTCGCAGCCAAGTACGCCACAACCTCCCTGAACAGCGGTTCGGCCCTTACCGTCGGCTCCTCGATCTCGCTGAGAGCCACTACCGCCTGCTGCACGGCCCGGTACCTCGCACACACTGGCTCAACGGTCAACACCCAAATAGTCACGTCCTCGAGCAGCACCGCCCTTAAGCAGCAGGCCAGCTGGACCGTCCGCACCGGTCTTGCAAACAGCGCCTGCTTCTCGTTCGAGTCCAAGGACACCCCCGGCAGTTTCATACGGCATTACAATTTCCAGCTCGCGCTTAACGCCAATGACGGCAGCAAACAGTTCGGTGAAGATGCCACGTTCTGCACGCAGGCCGGTCTCAACGGCCAGGGCGACTCGATCCGGTCCTGGAGCTATCCCACGCGGTACTTCCGCCACTACACCAATGTCACCTACATCGCCAACAATGGCGGCGTTCACGTCTTCGATGCCGCCACTCTCTTCAATGACGACGTGAGCTGGGTCATCAACAGCAGCTTTGCGTGAAAGATTTGGGTTCTATGGGAACACTATTGAGTAATACTAGGGACCGTTTTTATAAACCTGATAAACCAAATTACAAATCCATTCAATACTTGGCTTGCTTCTTCAGTATGTATATATCATGATAATACCAAGGGCAAATATATTTCACCTTACATTTCCAGCATATTGGATCGTCCTGACGACTTGAAAAGTGAAGAAGAAAATAAACATAAACCAAACCCGCAGGTGGATTATGCTTGTTGGTGCCTGGAGACCGAAGTGACCATGTTTCACCAACGTCTTGTGATGGAAGGTCTGGTGTAACATGCGCTACGGGAAGAATACAGAACGAGGGTAACCTGGCCGAACGTGTCAGGGCCAGGTTACCGGCAGCAGCATCACCCAGCGTCTAGCGTGCGAGAACCAGGAGCCAGAGAGCTCAGTGGACGGTTTGCGTTGCATATGTAGTAAGTCATCTGGTCAGTTAATGGCAAACGGTATTAAGTCAAACCATACTGGGTGTACCACACCATATCACTCTTCGGGAGAGACCTAGGTTACAGCGCATATCATCGGATGAACCCCACGCAAATACAAATTATACAATATTGAATATTAATGGATAATAACAAGCTTGGCCATTCGAGTGGCTCATCCAGCTACCAAGAGCCTGCAAACCTTCACGATTCATGCACACCTTCCGCATCAGGCTAGAGTAGCCAAGGGGCAACGGCCCGCATAGCATGCATGATTCGTTCCTTCGTTGATTTTTGCAACATTCAAGCTTTGGACGAAGAAACAAGTGGATTTCTTATCTTGGCACAGATCAACGCTTATTGCGGAGTATATGTACTACAATATGCTTAAAAATGGGCATTCGTTAACCCGGGTATGCTACTACGTAGAGATTTCCCAATGGCTTATCTCGTGAGCGGCAATTAACACTGCACCCCACTCTAAATCATTGGGTCAGGCTCATTCTATGACATTGATATGGGGTTAATGCACTCTCTACCCCCATCAACCAGAGTTATCATGTTATCGCCCGTACCTATTCTCCCTAACCCTGACTCGCGATGCCGACGGAAGATAAACAGGCATGATCATTGCCGGTACCTGACCACTCTAGAAAAATTAGAGCGAATCCTTTTCCCCACGATATTTCCCTTGCAAAGTACCTCACGCCATTGATTGAAAACGCCGAGACAACTTACAACAGTGGTCACGATGGGAGAACCAGGACGGCAAGTTAAGACGAAGATCAAGTACTTTGATGACCCTGGAGTACCATTGGTGCCCATGGTGATTGGGGGGTGAGACGCCAATAACATGACAAAATATTCCCACGCTGACAGGGGTTGATAATTAGCCCGGAGCCTGGCAAGCCGCAACCTAAAATCGAGATTCCGACGACGATTACAGATATCACCGGCAGAGAAGATGAATTCACGCTCGACGTCCAAGGATTCCACTACGTGAAGCATGAGAGCCAGGTGACGAACTGGGACGATGATGAAGAGATCAAGCGAGTGAACTATCCTGAAATGGAGAAGCTGTGTTGGAAGGTTTTGGCGGAAACCGAGAACATGTAAGCGAACTCCGTTTCACGATAGTTCTGTTGCCCCAACTCACAACCTATCACAGGCCTAAACCCTGCTTGGTGCACATCATGACGCACATCATCCGCCGTGGACCTAAGGATGGCGAAGGCCCCCAAGGTCCGGCGCCGTTGTACGGTGTCCACGTCGACCAGTCTTTTGCAGCTGCGGAGGGTGTTGCCCAGAGATGGCTGGGAGATAGGGCAGAGGAGCTGCTCAAGAAGCCACGATATCAAATCATCAACGCAAGTGTGCGGCGGCGCCGATTGTAGCTCCAAAACTAATCGTATATCTAGATGTGGCGGCCGATTCGCCCCATTACGCGAGATCCCTTTGCCGTTTCCGACGCCAGAACCATCCCGGACTCAGACCTGGTGTTCGTGCCGGTACGATTCCCGGACCATGACACCGAGGCGGTGGAAGTGCGCCCGCCGACGAACTCGTCTCACAAATGGTACTTCAAGGACCAACAGCAGCCAGATGATGTGTTGTTCTTCAAACAGGTGGACTCGAGCACCAAGCCGGGAGTTCCTAGAAGAGTTCCCCACTGTGCTTTCAAGGACACAGATCTGCCCGAGGGAGCCGGAGAGCCGAGGGTCAGTATCGAGGTCAGAGCATTTGTCTTCTACGATGAGGATTAGATGGATACTAGGACATGATATGAAGTCCAGACACATCAATGAACAAAGCCAGGAAGGCAAGTTGGTTTCCCATCTGAATCAGCTAATATATGTCGTGTATATGCCGAACTCACAATTGGCAGTGTGGTTGGCAAAGAAAACATGCATCGCTGGAGGCCGCAGAGAGGCTATTTCTCTGCTTATACTTGCTCATGTATGCCAACTTGGTGCAAGATTGGATGTTGTGCATGGCCTAGTTCTCGTGCGTCTAAAAGTAGGACGGTCTTCGAGGTCTCAAGTTGGTGTCTCTGGGAATCTGTTTGAATATCTATGTTCCGAGCAGAAGTGTGATGAAATTTCTAGTGCTATATGTGACATTGCAGGCGGGTGGAGTTTGCCCGGTGTATTAGTGTAATTATATTTTTGAAATGAGAAAAACGTGTGATGCCCCAGTAGTTCTTTTGCCTTTCTCTATTACCAGGCTCGCAATCAGTGAATCATTCATTCAATGGGCTCAATCCTTGAGCGACGTCAGATAGTCAAATGCCTGTTATCGTGATTAGACATAGAAATAAGTGCTTCAAAAGTCAAGACATCATATTTCGCTAGCTTGTGACGAAGTTAACACAAGATCGTTAATATCGAACAAAGCTCCGAACACATATAGTGTCAATGATGCCCCTCTATTAAACAGCAGAGCGTCTCTTTAGACTCATAAAAACTTGGATTCAGTTTTACTGGTCAGCTGTTCATTCTTTAACAGATGTGTCTTCTCTATGGTGGCTTTATGATTATGATCATATATTAGCCTAATTGCAGAGGCAGAATACAGTAATGCGGCCAATGAAGGCTAATCACAGCAGCTTCCTGTAGGCTCTACTCGCACTTTCATCCCGGCTCAAGCCAGTGCTGGCTGAAAATATAGTTACTGTAACAATCACCTCATCATTTGTCACCAGATTTTTGAACCGAACTACGAGTACTCAAGTCTGAATCGACCTTGAAGTCGGAAATCTCAGATTAAATAACCTCAAGTGCGGTCCACAAGCAGTGCGGAAGCCTCTTTGCAAAGTACCCTTCGTGACCCGTTCTTTGATAGAGCAGCTGACCCACGGAGAGCTTCCGGCGGTGACGTCCTTGATTCTGCGGGGTTTATAGCAGTATTGTAGTTGGGTCGGCGATTGTCTTTGTATAACCTTATAGCTTTTCAACACGTTTTTCGGTCGGTTAACACAAGCTTCATCCCAAAAGCTTGGATCCGGGGCTACACACCATGAAGGTCAAGCGGGGACCAGCGACGGGGTACTCAAAGTACCAGGGAAGCCCTTGCTTCCCCATGCTCACTCGACCTCGAAAGTTGCCAGTAGTCGTGAGCTTTTTGGGTACCCAAACCGGGATTTTCGTACTTCAGTAGCATGATATAGTACACTCGAAAATTCACGCCGCTTTGGCTGTAGAGAGACGGTCTTGGCTTCGTTTTTTTTATCAATGTTTCTTCGTTCTATGATCGTCTGTTCTAGAGAATTATGATGGTAGTAGGAGTGAAGGGATGGTACAGTTATACAATGAGCTGTGTCTACGTGGTATTCAAAGTCCAAACATGCCAGATGCTCTTCACAAAATAACTCCGAATGATGGCAAATTCAGTATGCAGGCTCCAGGTTCTCTGAATGAACACTCAAAACGCCGTCATCAACTTCCAACCTGTCCGATGAACTCTTGCTGCGAGGATGGACGTTGTACCCGCCAAGCAGAAAACTCCTGAAAAAATCTTGATCCCGACCCAGCCACCAGATCCAGACAGAATAGCGCCGTTGATAGGGTTCGTCGTCAAGCCGGCAATAGCGTTGGCAAAGAGCACGATACCCGTCCGGAAGCCAATTTCCTGTATTGGCGAGATCTGCGCGATCAGTGGCGCGACGAGGGATACATAGGCGCCGGAGCAGAAGCCGAAGAGCACGGCAAACGCGATGATCGCGCCGTCCGTCTTGGCAGGGATCCAGAGCGCGAGCATCCAAATAGGGGTGAGGAAGCCCACCAAGACAAAGATGTTGTACTTCCCGATCTTGTCGCCCAGGATACCCGAGGCAATACGCCCGAATAAACTTCCCGCGTTGAGCATGGAGATGAGGTATTGAGCCAAGTCGGGGTCCATGCCGGCCGCGAGCGCCTGCACCTGGATGTAGTTTATGGGAACAAAGATGCCGTAGGTGAAGAGGAAGAAGCCGATGACAACGCACGCGAACTCAAACTCCTTCAAGGGGCTAAGAAGTTGCCCCCGACTGAACTTCTGCGGGCGGGGCGGATGGAATGCTTTGATGGTCAGGTTGGCGATGATGAGCAGGGCAAGGATGATGAAGGCACAGATGCGCATCGCCCATGGGAAGCCGAGGGATTTGATTACTCGTGTAACCATGATGGGAAAGAGGATGCCGCCAAGGCTGGACCCTGTAGAGAGCACGCCAAAGGCGGCGCCACGCTTGCGGTTAAACCAGCCATGAACAACGCTCATCCCGGGCGACACAATTGCCGCAACTCCAATAGCAGAGCAGATTCCCTGGGCAAGAAGTATCTGCCAGTACTTCGTCGCAAGGGATGTCATCATGAGGCCGAAGACGTGTAGGATCGTGCCGCCAAAGATCAGCCAGCGAGGGCCATAGTGGTCATATATCTGGCCGACGAGGGGCCCCTGGAGATCATCAGCACCTCCAGCTCAGAAAAACATGGAGAAATAAAATAAGCGTTCGATTACTTACCAGGCCCATCATGAAGAAGATCTGAAGGGAAGGGATCCATGAAATGGTGCTCGGCGAGTAGTTGGGGAGCAGGTCGTTCTGGTAGTACTCCTGGAAAGCCCCCACGCCTAAACCGCGTTAGCTTTATTGTTACCAAACAAGCTTCAAGCTCGGATCATACTGTTCACCCAGCCGAAGCTGCAGAACGACGTCGCCCACGCCCCCAGCACAACTAGCCACGCTACCAGACCGCCGTCCGGCGCATCGCTTCCTGGGGGCAGCGGTTGCGTAGCATCGGTGCCTTTTTCGGGGTCGAGTTGCTGAATCGTCGACTGGCGATCAGATGAGTAATCTGTTGTGTCCTGGTCCATTTTGGCCGCGGGTCCTTGAGGCACTGCGATTGTCCCTTGCGAGTACGCCAGGGAAGAAGGATAATCTTCCTTGGACATTTGGAATACGAGTATCTCGATAGTATCCTCTGGTTGGCCAGTTGTATATGGACAGGAGTCACAAACTTTGGGGTAATACTATCGGAGCGTTGGCAATGGGAGTGAAAGTTGTCGCTTGCTATATTCGTGCAGGGAATGGTGGCGAAGAAAGTACAAGCTACCGGGGTGATGAAGGACTAAGTACTCGAGATTCTTAAGCTGGAATGAAAATTCTGGAAGCAATAATGGACTATCATCACGACGGCTCTTGTCCGGCGCCGACGCCGTACACTTGGAGATGGTATTGCATAGTTGAATTGGGGTTAATCCACCTGGCTAGGTAGTAGTGGTTTCCGATATGACCGAATGGTTCCGATATGGCCGATCTAAGCACTAATTTCAAGACTATTCCAATATCCAGAGGCTCCGGGACAGGAACGTGTATTGATGTCGGGCTCCATTCCTTTCGGCGGATGGCCCTTCTATAAACACCGAGGCCGAGCACCTCACAGCCAATCGGCCATAAGGGTGTATCCCCACCGGCGGCAGATGCCGAGACGCGGGCCTAGAGCGAGTAACACAACCCAAAGGACATCGGTGGAGTAATCTCTCATTGACAAGCTTGTTCGCTTCCGAACGTCTCATAACTAATACTATGAACTACCTAGGCGGCGAGCTTGTATGACCACTTCCGTCTCTCAAGTTGGTATTACCCGGCTAATCGGTATTGTAGAATCACATTCCCTTGTGACGACACCACCATCTGAAAGATGCCAGGCCAAAGCGATTGCGTTATGCCCTTAACCCAAAACGGGATGGATTATACCATCAAAAGAATTCAGAGTGCTCGGGCATATCGTACGCCCGAACGACAGGAAACACTAGCCGGAGACCGATTTGGGCCCGGTCTATGTTGTGCGACACCAGAGCCGCCTTCCAGTACCTTCTTTCTTACAAGGCTGTAGCGAAATCGCCGACAACCAGTCGAATATGGACAATGTCCGAATAGCTCGGCACATGTCAAACCAAAGGGTATCATCCGGAACAAGGTAACGCCGTCGCTGCCTTCAATCCTACACCATTTCCGTAGCATCGACAGGTTTTGCACCATGTACTGACTTCTGGTAGTCTGGCACCCGATCTTGCAGATATTCGACATGATCAAACGGCTCGTTATTTGATAGAGGCCATTCTGGTTTCGTCGGCCGCATGTCGGGGTCCGGGGCGTCGTGGACGGGCTGCCGCCCTAGACTCTTGCGCCAGGTGGACTTGGGCATCTCCGGCATGCTCTGCAGCGCCGCGGCGCGCTCGAAGACAGTGGGTGACGGCGGCTCGTCTGGTGCATAGAAACACTTGGCGATGTTTGGCGCCACGTGTTTGATGAAGGGTTTGAGGAATGGGAGGCAGGTGCAGATGATACCCACATTGGCTTCCACCACGCTGCGGCAGGTCAGTTTCTATGAGCAAGAGGAGGCGCAACAGGCTGCTTACCACCAGATGATGCTGATGGAGGCGGTCCAGGTAAAGTCGGTGTTGCCGAAGCCGAGGGGGATCATGACCATACGCACGATGCTTGGCCCAAGGACACTGGCCACACTGTCAGTGACAGCTCGGAACGTTGGAAGATGACACGGGGAAATGGACTTACAATCCGCCCGCCATGAGGAAGATGGTCATCTCGATCTTTTTGACGAGCCTCATTGACAAGGGCGCCAGAATCCATATAGGAAGCAACAAGATGGCGATGTCGGTGGCGACGTTGGAGACGGATAGCATCAGCCACCACATGGGTTCATTGACGCAGGTTCCTGGCACGTTATCGTTCCAGATCCTCTCCATCGGCGTGCAGAGGTAAGCCCAGCTGAGAGCGCCGGCGCACGAGTACGCCACGGTGGCGGCCATGACCGCGTACACCACCATCCTGATCGGTCGCCTCAGGGGGAAGCGCAGGTAGAAGACGAGGATCGAGGCCTTGGTGAAGAGCACGGACAAGCTGTAAGCGGCGAGGTCGACCATGCTCAGCTTGTGGAACGCAACGACTGCGGCCTTGCTGACTTCCCAGATGTGATGGCCTGCGCCATTGCGGGTCTCGTAGACCTGGATGACCGAGTACGTTGTCGCGAAGACGAGGGCGATGAAGATCAGGCAGTCGTCAAGCTGAGCCCGGCGTATCACGACCTTGGCGGTGTACAGCCGGATGGCGCAGAAGGAGATGGCGATCAGGTTCAGGAGAATGGCGACGACGAGGACCTGCGGGACCATTGACTCGGACTGGTCCTCGAAGTTGGATTCAATGCCTGGCAGCTCCACGGCCATTAGATGGGTTTCGCTGATTGTCGACATCGCATGATGGGGCTGGTGTTCGAAGGCAGATCTGAACGACACAGGTTTGTCTAGTGTTTTGCGGTATGGCAGATCAGCGGGAGGGGAGGGGGGAAAGCTCCCCATGGGACTATTTAGCGACAACATGAATCACGTCACCCTACCCACGAATCATTCCTAGCCTTCCAACAGGGAGGTTTGTTCATGATGGAAGGAAACTATGTCGGCAAATCCTTGGTGCACTCAGTGGCCTGCTTCGATTGATTGCGAGTAATGCACGCTAGTCATCGGCATACAAGTAGACTATCAGCCAACCGCTTCATCAGACAAAGCTTATTCTGTTTTTTGCGAAGACTGGGGGGACGGGCTTCCTCTCCGGTACGCATACCCGGCAACCATGATCTACACGCACACTGCTCCAGAAGAAGCAGAAGTGTGTCCCAACAGCCGCTAACCCAAATACCAAGTCAGTCCCAAGGTCCGATTTTGGCCATCTTATCTTGTTCCGAGATCGTCGAGTGGCCTCGATGAAGCCAAGCTCCAGGTTGGGGCCAAGGTTGTTTCTTGAGCCCGGAAGAAAAGCAATCGTATTCATTCCATCTTACTGGATGCCTCTAAGTCGCTTGTGGTCGGCTAAGCGGCTATGCGGGGAGGGGAAGCTTCGTCGGAAAGCTTAACTGGTCAGTCCCCTCTGTCAATCTCTCGGAACCAAGCAGAGGCGCTCGATAGGGCCCTCGCGCGGGTTGACGACCACCACCAACGACCAACTGGGCCGCCGATCGTGCTGCTACCGTGGGTCGAAGACCCCTGCGCCGGGACGGGCAAGCGGTATCGACACGCTTCCAGACTTGGCCGTCGGGAGACTATAGAAACTTTGTCTGTCCCCCAGGGCTGACAGGGATATGGACTGCGAGTCTTCGGACACGGAGGCTAGGCCGATTATTCTTTTCGGCTGGGTTAAAGCGAATCTTACCCCTCCAAGCCAGCCAAGCTCGACTCGTGAAATCGCGGTGATACAGTTTCCCGAGCTAAATCCCGAGCTAACATCCTGGATCTGACGCATTGCGTGCGGAAATCTTAACCTAGCGCTGGGCGTCTTGGCCAACACGCGTACTTATCGTCTGCTCCTAACAAGGTACGGCCTTACTCCTTGTGTCGATCAACCGCCTCAATGTATTATTGTACTTCAACAACTCAACCGTAGGTACTACATTGTACATTGCCCGGGGTAGGTAGAGTTTAGGTGAGCTGTTGCGGCGCCCACGCCAGTCTCTTGGAAGCGATGCTTTCGCGTTCTTGCCACTGCAGCGAGACGTTAGAATCGTCGAGTCAGTCAAGATTCAACCGTAGCAAAGCTCGAAGTCATGGCAAAGCTACTCCGTGCATGGAGATTCGAACTGGCTACAATTTGGGGAAATGGGCTGGTTCTGGTGCACATCTCTAGAAAAAGCTGCCGAACCTTCACGATACTCTCTTCAAGCTCGCTGTCGGCGGGAAGTCTGTTGTGGCTTGTCACGATGTGACGTCAGGTAAAGAGTCACCAGGAGGTGCCGTTGCTCATTCGTCGACACTTCGGGTCCCAGCTTCGGGATCGTGTCACGAGTTGCGGAGGGGGGGGAGTAATTAAGTGTGCACCCGAAAGCTTTGGCTAAGCCACGCGGTAGATCAGATACCGATGACACCCCCTCCTTCTTTTTTCTTTTCATCAAGATGAAGCGGCAATCCGTGCCGGTAATTCTTTGGCTGATATTCGGCGTATGAATTGACAGCTGTATCTTTAGGACATTCAAGATCCGATGTTTGGGCTTCCCTGGGGTTCTGACTGCAAGCCTTGACAAGATGAATTTCTCTCATTGTACCTATCCTGACATCAGTACCGACTTGGTGTGCCATTTAAGCATGTCCGCGTCACGATGTCTGTGCGAATCGACTGGATGAAATAGTCCCCTCTCTCCCCAAAGTAAACGTATCGATGGGACGATGTCAGAGACAGCAGAATACTAAAACTGTAGCTTCCTTCACCCATAATTCCTGGTTGAATCCTATCATCTTTCCCGGTTCTTGTTGGGCATTTTACCATATCAAGCCATATGTGAAGTTTCATGGAATCTCGGTATGCCAGTGTGCACGAAGCTCCTGTTACTGCAGGCCGTAGGAGGAAAGGGGAAGGTGATAGGAGAGCCTAGCTGCCTCTGTACAGTGACAAGGTCGTGATCGAGAACAGTAACGACGAGTCCCTCAGCGTGCCGTGTCTCGACCCAGTCGCCAGCCTGCACTAGAACGTCGGCATCATGTTCCAGTACCCGACCGGCTCCCCGCGGATCACGTCCAGTCACCGTAAAATCCCAATGGCGAAGAAATCCCCCTTTATTTTCGATCTAAAACCCGTGATCTAGGACTTTGCGAAACTGTACGCGCGGATCCAGTACGCCACGCGCGAGCGGCGGTGGGACATCCTCGAGGCGTCCTGGGTCTTCCCGCGTATGCTATACAGCATCAGCCCAAATATAACCGTGAATAGAAGCAAAAGCTTTGCGCTGGGTATTAGGTATCAAAATCGTGACTCGGAGGTGCCGGCTTAGTGGTGGCCCAACAGTCTACCTGTCTGGTATAGATGGCTACAAATTACTTGCATCCCGCGAAATGGTGCTTCCCCTGGTATCCTGAACCTCATCAAATCGAACGCAAATCAAATCTTCTCCGACACGTTCCGGCTGAGGGGCTGAACTCGCTCAGCCAGGAACATGTCCTCCGCGGTGAGCTCGTACTTGCTTGACTTGCGAGCCGAGACGCCCTTCTGGAACATGACATCCATTTCGCCAAAGGTGCGGTCCTTGGTCTCGAACAAGCGAAAGAAGCCCCAAATCAAGGTAATGGTGGCGAGGACGGCCCAAAAGAATGCCTGGCAGCCGGTTAGCCTTCACAGAACACCTACGAATGAAAGGGTCTAGGATCACTCACAGTCTTTCCCTTCAAGTTCCAGTCGCCGGGTGCCAGCATCTTGGGCTGGATGAGACCGCCACATATGATGTTGCCTACATAATATGTGCTGCGGCCCAGGACGACCGTCTGGGTCCGAAGACGGGTCGAGCCAACTTCGGACACAA